CCCGGGAATCGAACCTGGGTCCTCTCACTTGCGAGGCGAGCGCTGTAACCACTGCGCGAGTCCAAACACAACCGTGTGACCCGGAGACGAGGGTGTGAGTGGCTGGTGCCTTTCCTTTCAGCTTGTAGCTCCTCTTCTGATGTTCATTTATAAGGTAGAAATAACAGCTATAATTCTTGTCTGAGTGTCTGAATACCTTCCTGATGCAGCAGTGAGGAGCCGAGTCAGGCCCCAGAGGGGTGTGTGTTGAGCAGATGACAATAGACAGGAGAGTTTCAGAGCTTCGCACCATTTGCTTGCTCGATGGTGTCCAATCCCTGAGTGATTCCCAGCGCTTTGGGACGTCCTGCCGACGCGAAAGGCGCTCTATAAATGTAATTTTGTTGTTGTTGTTGATTCAGACAAACATCTTCTGCCTAATTGCTCCTTTTTCATTTCACTCCGACCCTGATCCACTTAAGTATTTATTGAGTTTTGTTCTTTTCCCTAAGCCAATCTCGTTGTCGGATGTTACGCAACCTTTGGCAAGCTTCCTTACTCCTCACGCCTCTGCTTACCTAGCAGTAAATAGGGACCCGATTGTTAGTCGATTGTTAGTAATAAACCCCTCAAAAAATAGTAATAATTTGGTCACTTGATTTACAACTGCCTTTGGGACGCTGCTGTGCGCAATTGGCTGCCACGTTCGCCCACAAATATACAGTCAATTCACTTTACAGTATATTCTGTGAAGCGCTTTGGGACGTCCTCCCGATGTCAAAAGCGCTATATCAAATGTAAGGATTATTATTATTATTGTGTGAAGGGTTCTGGGTCAGAAAGATGTGGGTTTAAGTCTCACTTTGGGACTTTCAGATCACAATCCAGGCTGACTCTCCATTGCAGCACTGGTGGTGGGTGTGTGGACCTATATTGTCAGAGTTACTGTCCTTATAGATGTGATTTATAACCTAGCTCCAATCTGCCTGTCCTTTAGATGAATGTTCAAGATGCTGTGACACTATTGGAAAAGAGAAGTGAATTTCACCCGATGTCTTGGCTAACAGTCTCCCAGATAAATCACGGCATGCTTTTTTCTGGGATGTTATTGTGCGTGGTTTAGCTTCTGACTTGGGTTCAATTCTTGGCAGGATGAAACCTTGCGTTTTGATATAGCACCTCATTGTGTCTTTGCGACGTCTCAAATCGCTTCACCAAATATGCTGTCCAGCGCCTTGGGACGTCCTCCTGACGTGAAAGGCGCTCTATAAATGGAATCTTGTTGTTGTTGTTGTTGTTGTAAAGTGAATTGAGTGTATATTTTGTGGGTGAAATGCGGCAGCCAATTGCGCACAGCAGCGTCCCCATAAACAGTTGTGGACAAGTCCCTGTGACTGCAGTGTTGATTGGTATCAAATGCACGTATTATTATTTATAATATATCCTCACACAGAGAGCAGTGGGAATGTGGAACATGCTTTCACAAAGTGTTGTTGAGGCAAATAGCATAGATGTATTTAAGGGGAAGCTAGATAGGTACATGAGGGAGAAAGGAATAGCAGGTTCTGCTTGAAGGCTTAGTTGAGGAAGGGCAGGAGAGGGTCACGTGGAGCATAAACACCGGCATAGACCAGTTGGGCTGAATGGCCTGTTTCCGTGCTGCATATTCTAATGTATTCTATAACATAATCTCAGCGTTGAAGATTTAGCGCGTGGATGTTCTCTTTAATTCATAATGGAGACTATTTATTTATTTATTTAGGATCAGTCAGGTGTCTGACACATGCGGAAACCCATCACCATGTGCTTAAGAGTATCCAAACCCAACTGAGAATTCCAGGCATCCCATCTACACATGGAAATCCCAGAGATAGATTGTTGGAATGGGAATGCGCTCTCTCTCTCTCTCTCCCTGGAGAGACGCATCCTGCTTACCTAATTTCGGAAAGTATTAGGCACAGGTTGGCAAGAGCCTGTTGGCATGGCGACTGTAAAATATGCTGCCTGATCCAAACAGGACTCTGAACCTTTCCACTTTAGTAATTGAAGCGAGTTCCTAACTTCGTGCCAGCCTGGCTTATTTACTGCTTTTATTAAAGCAAATCCTCCCCTCCCTGTGACTGCTTCCAGTGCAGCCTTGGGAATCTTGACTCGCCACTTTAGTGCAAAACACCACCAAAAGAAACGTGATGATTGTATTTACTGTGTTAAGATGGAATGGACCCTGCTGTGGATTACACCCCCTCTTCTCCCTCTGACTCCCTCGGGATGGGTTGAGTGCACTCTCCTCTCATGGAGGATTTGTGAGAGGTCTGTAGCATCCCGGTTGGAGCCCTCGCCTCGCAAGCAAGAGGACCCGGGTTTGATTTCCTGAAACCTTAGCCAAGTTTCCTTACTACACACACCTACTGCTTACCTAGCAGTAAATAGGAACCCGGTTGTGGGTTGATTGGCGCATCGCTTTCCGTGGGTAATAATCCCTCCCCCCAAAAATAAAAAAGATATGAGTGACTGAGAAGCCGATATTTGACTTTAAAAGTCTGGTTTGACTTTACGTGCTGCACTCCGGAGACGTAAACTATAAAGTGTAATTAGCTTTGATGATAACGGCTCTCCGTTAATTGTAGCCCTTCAGGGAATGATTCATGATCATAATCCAATCCTTCCCTCCGCTAATGGGTGGCTCTCTATCATGTGAGTGGAGTTTCCTTTCCGTTTACCAATCTACTTTACCAGCATCTATCCACTTTACAACCCATTTGCCATTGCTTTGCCTAGGCTTAATTGTCCAGATCCTTCAAGATAGTAACCACCCCATCAATTAGCTGCCTACTTGACCACCCCCCCCCCATTCCACCATCCTCACCACCCCCCCGATTAGCTGCCTTTCCCCTCACCCACCCCTTTCTTGATATAACATCCACTATAAAATGGATTCCAAGCTGTTTTCCCCGCCTGAACCACAGGGGAGATGGGTTCAATTACACATGTGCATGTGTGTGCATTCTTGGGTGTATGTGTGTGTGTATATGTGTACACACACGTACCAATACTCATTTCCTCTCTCTCTCACGCACACAAACGCACATATACACACAAATGGACAGGCTGGATTGACACCCAATTGCCTGCCTATTCCCCGCTGACTCTATCCTCCTGTTTGCTTGACGTACATCCTCCTCATCGGCCTTCCCAACTCTTTCCTTCACAAACTACAGATCATCCAAAACTCTGCAGCTACGTGACCTCATCACTCCCACTCTCGCCCGACTCCACTGGCTCCCCGTCCCCCAGAGGATTGAATTCAAGATCCTTGTCCTCACTTTCAAGTCCATCCATGGCCTTACCCCCTCCTACCTCTCCGACCTGTTAACTCCCTACAAACCTGCCCGCTCCCTCCGTTCATCAGGCTCCGGTCTGCTCCATGTCTCCCGCCCTACCATCGGTGGCCAGGCTTTCAGCCTCTCTGCCCTCACACTCTGGAACTCCATCCCGCCTCGCTTCCTCCCTCGCCTCCTTCAAGGCCGGTCTCAAGACCCTTCTCTTTGATCGTGCCTTCGGTCGCCCTCCCACCCCTACACCACCCCTCTCCCATGCTCGGGCCCCGACACCTGACTGTTCAGCGCTTTGGGACGTCCTCCCGACATGAAAGGCGCTCTATAAATGTAATTTTATTGTTGTTGTTGTCCCTGGTCCCCTCCGTTCTACCATCGGTGGCCGTGCTTTCAGCCACTACGCCCCGAAACTCTGGTACTCTCTCCCTCCTCCCCATTTTCAGATCAGACAAACCTCTTCAATCTTGCCTACCGTCACCATTGGGCTTTGCCACTGTGTAATGCTGCGAAACACTACCCTGTGTGAAGGCTGCTATATAAATGCAAGTTTTATTGTTGTTGCCAGAGGTGATGGGTCAATACTCTGCCTCACTGTAACATCCAACCCCCTCCTTCTTATGGGCTGTTTTGTGCTAAATTTATTTTTAAATTTACTTTTGAGGCTGATCTGGAGCGGCTTTGGCAGAACCGTGTTAATCTACAGAAAGCAATTAGGTCTCATTTCAAATTCCATATTCTACAGCGAAGCAACTAACTTCATCAATTAGGCTGAATCCCTATTAGCGCAGTAAGTGGCTTGGATCAATGGCTTCCGAATTAAGCATATGGTGTATTTCCGAGTCTTTCTTAAATGATCAATTGTGGCTCAAGTCCAACAAACAGAGTCACGATGACACAAAGAAGCAACTCAGCCCCATGGTGTCTGTGCCGGGGCTCGCTCCCCCACTGGAGCTCTCTACTCTAACCCCACTCCCTGCTCTCTCTCTCTCTCCCCGTGGTGTCTGTGCTGGGGCTCGCTCCCCCACTGGAGCTCTCTACTCTAACCCCATTCCCCTCGTCTCTCCCCATCATGTCTGTGGAACATTGCTGTGCGCAAATTTGCTGCTGCATTTTCACCTACAAAATCCAGTTGTTACACTTTACAGTAAAATCCTGTGAGGCCTTTTGAGATATTTGGATGATACGATCAGGCTCTGTATCAAATGGAAGGAATATCATTTTTTATTGTGTGTGACTGACAGTTGGTTGGTGGAGGTATGAGATGTGGCAGGAGGGGGGTCACTGGGGGTTGGCGGAATGGAGGGAGTGGGCGGTGGAGTCTTGCTTTTGTGTTGTCCATTCCTCCTCTTTGGTGACCACCCTCGCATCCTCACCACCCCATGCCCCATACTCACCCCAACTATCTCCCATCCTCCTGCATCCCCCCATTTCCTAATTGCCAACATGTGGTGTGTTCATGTCATTGCAGTTCCTTGGGGGGTGAGAGAAGAGAGAGAGTAAATCATTGTAAAAATGACTATTTTGGGGGGCGCGGGGAGGGATGGGCTCAGACGCTTTGAGGGACGGAGTGTCGTTTTATTTGGCCAAACCATTTTAATGCTGTTCGCATTGCTGTCATTTCTATGTGCGTGGAATCATCCATCCAAATTGCTGTTGTTTCAAAGTGTCGTTGTGCTCTGCTTCCAGCCTCGGGAATCGACTTCTCTGGGCTGCAGTGACCGCTGTGAGACGCACAGTGAGGGACCGGAGCGCTTGGGTTGGGGGGGGGGGCTGCACAATGCCCCCTCTATTGGGGGTCGCCCTGTGGTTCTGGGCACGAAGTCTCAGCATCGTCATCACAGCTGAAACCCGGGGGCTCGGTGAATCCGGTAAGCCAGAGTGTCAGCTCTCGAGCACCCCCCCTCCCCACCCTGCCCCGAGGAGCGTGGATGCTGTGTGTGTTTTTTTTGAGTCATTGACGTTTCGATGCTTTGAAGCCTTTCATAGCTTGTAGGTTCTGTTGTAGAGTCCTGTAGTTCAGTGGTTAGCGCACTCGCCCTGCCGGGTGGGGCTGGGGCAAAACCGTAGGCAAGTTTCTTTACACCACACACCTCTGTTTACCTAACAGTAAGCAGGAACCCAGTCGTTAGTCGATTGGTGGATCGTTTTACCAGCAGTAATAATCCCTCCAAACAAATTACGATAATGTGGTCACTCAATCCACCACCGCTGTGCTAATTGTCTGTCGCGTTTTGCCCACAAAATCTTTGAGACGTCTCAACGATGTGATAAGGAACTATATCAAATGCAAGTATTCTTATTGTTCCAGTGTATTCAAGAGGCAATGAGAGATGTGGATTTGGGGGGAACAGGGGGATTAAGGGGTACACACGTGTAATGGAGGATTTTTTTGTCTCAGACTTCCCCTGGTCAACCTATTGGCTTGGCCCATTCTGCATTTCGTGTTTACTGCACTGCTCTGTACAGAGGCTGGTGTTGGTGTGTTTTTGTGTGATGTTGTTGGCTGATATCCGTGAACGGAACGAGCATATAATGTGAAAATTTCCCCAGACACTTGCAGTTAATGAGTAATGAGTTGTCGAGCACTGCATTTACACAGACAATTAATAGATAAGCATTTGTGAAAGGTGAGCATGAGGCCCATCAATCTGATGCGCGAGTGCGTGTCTGAGCTGTGGTGTGAGGGACTCTGAGTAGAGCGTTTCGTTAGAGCAACAGCGCTGTGTAAAGTCGACAGTACTGCCAGCACCCAACTTAGTTAATCATTCTCCAGAGAGCAAGACAGTAAAAGCCTCATCAATCATCTGCCCAGATCGGACTCGCTTCAGAGACAAAAGTCCTTCCTTTTCACCAGCTCCACCCCCCCCCCCCCCCCCCCACCTGCATCTCCCACAACTAAACAGCACTCGGGATTGCTGGGCTCTGGCCTGCCCATGTCACCCATCTGCCCCGTCCCATTCCACCATCAACGGTCAAGCCTTCAGCCTCTCTGTCCCCATCCTTTGGAACTCCACCCCACATTCCCTTTGCCTAACCCCCTCCCTTGCTTCCTTCGTGGTCAGTCTCAAGACCCTTTCCTTCAACCATGCATTCGGTCACCCTCCTACCTCGCCCTCCCTGCCCTCTACCCCTCCTGATCCCAACCCCCAGCTTGGGTGCAAATCCTTAACTGTCCAACGCCATGGGGCGTCCTCCTGACATGAGAAAGGCACTGTGTAAATGTCATTTGTTGTTCTATTGTTGATGTTTTCACCTTGATGAGCGGATATTCCCCCCCCCCTTCCCCCGCGCCCAAGGATATCTGCTTTCTGGAAGCCATAACACAACGGAAATCAATGGCTGCTCTTTAAACAAAGTGTGTTGCTGGCTGTTTTGCTGTTGATGAGGATGTATGGGTTTGTGGTTAGTGGAGCTTAGGGGAGGTGAGGGGGAGTATGGGGAGATAAGATTCCATCTGCCTCTGCCCTGGACCCCTGCAATCAATCTGCTGCTCTCACTCCTGTCCTCAATCCATCATCATTAAATCACTAATCTATACTGCTCATGTTGCCGTAATCAGCAACCTCTGTCCGTCCAGCATGGCTGGTTGTGCCTGACTTTTGATTCAGGTGGATATTAAGGGACCCTCGTGTCTCTCGCCCCTGTTCTTTCTAAGAGAAACGTGATGATTTCTCTCCCCCTGCCCCCCCCACCCCAACCAAAGGGATACCCTACCAGCCAATATCTTTCTTCATTAATGTTTGGCACTGTGCTTGGTCCTCCACATGATATCACAATGGAAATCGATGGCCTCTGTTTAAACAAAGCGGCTGTTTCACTTACTGGGGGTGATAATCCAACAGCAACAACTTGCATTTATATAGTGCCCTCCAGCGTCCCAGAGCACTTGACAGTGGCGGAGTCCAACCCCCAAGCCAGGGAGGGAGGGGTGAGGTGACCGTAAGCACGATCAAAAAGGAAGGTCTTTAGTCGGGATTTTGAATGTAGGGACAAGGCAGAGGGATTGAGGGAGAAAGTGACAGTTTTGGGGAGTAGTATCTGTAGGTGCACGACCACTGATAGTGGAGCGTAGGGGATGATCAGGAGGCTGGAGAGAGGCGAGCAGAGGTAATGGATGGTGGAGTTGGGGGGTACGCAAATCGGAAACGTAGGGAGCTGTGAGGGAATGAAGGGATTTCAAAACAAATGAGAGGATCTTGAACTCAATCCGTTCAGTAATTGGGAGCCAGCAGAGCCTGGCAAGGGCTGGTGTGATGGGGGTACAGAGTTTTGTGCGGGTGAGAATCCGGGTGTCGAAGTTCTGAATTAGTTGAATTTTGTGTATGGTGGAGCTGGGGAGACCAGCGAGGAGGGCATTGGAATTGTCCAGCCGGGAAGTGATGAAGGCGTATACGAGGGTTTCAGCTGCTTCTGTTGTGACGTACAGACGGAGGCGGGCAATGTGGCAGAGGTGGGGGGAAAAGTGGTCCTGGTCAGGGAACGAATGTGTGGTAGAAAGGAAAGCTGGGGATCGAACCTGATGCCTAAGGAGCGGTGGTGGGTACGAAGATGCTTGAGCTACAGTTGGCAGGGAACCAACCAGATGGTTTTGTGCCATCTGTGTTTGAGCAACCGGGTTTGGGATTTGAGGGTTTGGAGATGGTCCTAGATTTCATGGGGACAAGTGAATTAAAGATGGAGGAGAGGCGATCGTTTAGCAGCTTGATGGCTGCATCAGGATCGCTGTGGATGGAAGGTCTGAGGACGAGGGGGCTTTTGTGAGGCACTAGAGCAATAGCTTTTTCCATAGCCGGAAAAAGATGATGGAGGGCTTGGAGGAGGGGAGGGGGATACGGAAGGAGGGGGAGATGAAGAAGTGGTCAGAGATGACCTTGTCCATGATGAACAGACCAGAGATGTCTAGGTCACGAGTGATGAAACCCTCCAAAAAAAAAGTGGTAATTCAGTCCACAAAACTGTTTGTGGGACACTGCTGTGTGCAATTGGCTGCTGATTTTCGCCCATAAAATACGCAGTCACTACACTTTACAATGGATAATCTGTGAAGCGCTTTCAGACATCTCAACGACATGATAAGGTGCTATCTCAAATGTAAGGGTTATCATTATGGTTAATAGGGGAGATACAAGCAGCCTGGGTTGTGGTGAGTGCAGTGTGCTCTGTAGTTAGATATCAGAGCACAAATGTTTCTTCGTCAGAGCGGGTTGAGAGGACATGGAATGCACAGCCAGCGGAGGCTGAATCGATTGGGATGTTTAAGAGGAAGTCGGATAGATAATTAATCATAATATTTATGAAGTCTTGCATTTAATAAAGAGCAACTATTTATGCACAGCAACATCCCACAAACGGCCATGAGTTGAATGACCAATTTTTCATTTGCAGACTGTTGGGCAGGACACAAACTCCCTTCTCTTCTCCAATACAATAACTCACCAACACTGTCACAGACGGGACCTCGGTTTAATGTCTTCTCCGTTGCACCTCCGTAAAATGCAGTGATCCCTGCACAGCACTGGAGCTGATATGATTGCTGTTGTTAAGATTCTAAAGGGATTAGATAACATAGACCATTACAATCTGTTTAATCTTGTCCAGAACAGTAGAACCAGAGGCCTGTGATTGAAGGGGGGGGTAAATTCAGAAACTAATCTGCGGTCACATTATTTCAGTGAGTGATTGTTACATCTATGGAACTGGTTCCCCAGGAAGACCTTGGAAGCAAAAAGTGTTGATTCTTTCAAATGCAAGTTAGATGCATTTCTTTTACGAAGTAATATTTTGGGATACAGTTTGAGTGATTCAGGATGTGACATGTGTATGTGACTGCAGGATGGTGGAAGGCAAATTGGATGGATTGATCTTTTTTCGTCTAGCATTTACTATGTTCCTATGTAAACCTAGACTAAATGCAAAGTCCACCGGTGTGAGACAGCACAAGAAGGTGCTCTAACCAGGTTGCCATGTATGCACTTTCCGGGATTAGGTGACGAGCGGGAGTCCCTCCTGGGTTGGTGGATGCGGGTGGGTGGTGTCACACTCTATTTCCACAGGCAGAAATTTCCTAGTGCTGTTCCCAGTAATAACACTACTAAAAATAATCCTTGCATTTGATACAGCGCCTTATTACGTCTTCGAGACGTCTCAAAGCGCGTCACAGAATATACTGCAAAGTGAATTGTCTGTGTATTTTGTGGGCGAAACGCAGCAGCCAATTGCACACAGCGGCGTCCCACAAACAGTCGTGGATTGAGTGACCAAATTTGTTTCTTTTTTGACGCAATTATTACCCCCAGAAAGCGATCCACCAATCGACTAACAACCGGGTTCCTACTTACTGCTGGGTAAACAGAGGCGTGTATGCGGAGTAAGGAAACTGACATGTTTCACCCTGTCTGGGATCGAATCCAGGTCCTCTCATTTGCGAGGTGAGAGCGCTAACCACTACACATTGCGACTCCTGTATTTCAGTTTGGAGACTCTTAAGCTTGATGTCTGTTCGAGTGTCAGACACCTATATGCCTTTGAATTCCGTGTTTCAGAACGATGCATGGACTGGGGAGTGGACAACATCAACAAGGTCCAGGCTTACGATGGGGAGCCGACCAGGGTGAAGTGCCCGCTCTTCTCCACCTACATCAAGTCCAACTACACGGCAGCTCACGCCTCTGGCCTCACCCTGGTCTGGTACAAAACGAGCCCAAACCAGGACCTGGAGGAGCCCATCGACCTGAACCAAGCAGAGAACCGCGTTAGCAAGGAGAGGGACCTGCTGTGGTTCTGGCCGGTGACTCGCAAAGACTCTGGAAATTACACGTGCATGCTCAGGTAGCTGCTTCTTTACTTATTTATGTTCTTCTGACGTGAAAGGCGCTATCCAAATGTAATGTTGTTGTTCTTGTGGTGGTTATGCATCTTACAAATTTTTGATAGATTTCTTTTAGAAAACAATATTTAGGGATACAGCATACAAGTCCTTTGAGACGTGATGAATGGATATGTCTGCCAAGCTTTTCTGCTGCTTGTCCAACTAGGACCACCCTACCCGTTTGGGTTTTGGCTTGTATTGTTAACAGGAGCTGCTCCCAGTGACTGGTCTGCCCTTAATAATAATAATAATAATCCTTGCATTTGATATAGCGCTTTTCACGTCTTCTTGACGTCCCAAAGCGCTTCACAGATTATACTGTAAAGTGAATTGACTGCAGATTTGTGGGCGAACGCGGCAGCCAATTGCGCACAGCAAAGTCCCACAAACAGTCGTAGATTGAAAATGACCAATTTATTATTTTTTTTGTTTTTTTGGAGGGATTATTATTAGGCTCTGTGTGGAGTAAGGAAACTTGCCCAAGGTTTCGCCCTCTGCCTGGAATTGAACTCAGGTCTCTCACTTGCAAAGCGAGTGCTCTAACCACTGAGCTACAGGACTCCACGATGGGTCCAGGCCTTGTCGATGGGCTGTGCTGTCATGAGCACTGCTCTGGAATACTATGGGCCCACATGGCTCAGGAATTGGATTAGAGACGCCATAGAGGGCTGGCTCAATTCTAGTACAGCTCTAAGGAGAGCCTGCTTACCTTCCTCCCACCGCCCCCTGGAGGATAGACCTTGGATCTAACGTTCCCAAAGCTTTCCACTCTGTTGTAGACTAATCCTTGCAGAATTAATTGCTACCAACATCTCCATTATTGTGGTATGCGACTACCAAGGTAGTAGAAGGCAAACCAGATGGACCTTGGCCTTTTTTCGTCAGCAATGCCTATGTTCCTAGCTGTTTCTTTCGTAATGGAAGCTGGTAGCTGAGGTGTGCGATTGTGCATGTTTAGTGTGTTTACGGTGGGAGTTGAAGCTCTATTCCAAAAGAGGAGGGAGTTTCTCTCTCTCTCTCTCTCTCTGTCCTGGCTGACAATCCCCCAGATAAAATCAGTCATTCACTTCATGGCTGTTTGTAGGGTCATTGCTGGGCTGAAATTGGCTGCCACAATTACACTTCACAGCAATTACCCGTGAAGCACTTTGAGACTTCAATATTATAGGCATGAAAGCTTTTGCAAGGGTTCTTGTCTATTCAGAGCCCAATTCCTCGATTGTTCCGCATCCCATTTTGGATGGTTTAATGGCATTGTGGCTATTCTTGCTTTCCTAGAAACACCACCTATTGTATTAAAGTGGCCGTTCCACTTCATGTAATTCAGAAGGACAAAGATCACTGCTATAGCCAGAAAGAACACATTTTGCTGCAAGATTTTGGTATAGGAGAAACCAGTAACTTAACCTGCCCGGGCACCACTGAGTTTTATCAGTCGACCGTTCAACCAATCATCACCTGGTACAAGGTAAGAGAATCACTGATAAAATATCGCAGGTTGAGTGTCTTAGAGAATGTTTTGAGGAACTGGAGTCTTACCGGTGTTTAATACACCAGTGATCTAGGTTAATTTACTGGCTCCTGCCACCTGCGCTTAATTGTGACTGTGAAATGGCATCCAGTGACCCTGATGTGAAGCTGAGGTAGGAGTGGGCTCCACAACCTGGAGAGAAATGTCATTTGATGTTTGTGTTGCTGTGTAGAATTGTCTTAAGCTTGTGTCGGACTCGATCGAACCCAGACCCATTGGACTTCTGCTGCTATTCCCTGTCATAAAAGAGAGACACGAGGCGAACTACACTTGTGTTGTCAGCATCACCAACAGAGGCGTATCCTTCACGCTGACGAGGACCATCGCGGTTTCAATAACTAGTAAGCATTACCTTTCTGTGGCGCTAGATTGCGGGTGAGATTGTTTCTTGCACTTAACAATTGTTGAGTTACCTGACATTTTTTTAACAGATTTTTTTATTAAAATGTTTGAATTTTTAGTTATTAATTTAATGGGATCTCAATCCTTTCTTCCAACCAATATCCTTTGTCTTTTCACAGCCAGCCAGGGTCACCCTAAGCCACCGAATTTAATGCGGCCGAAAATAGGCGAGAGGTTCGAAGTGGAATATGGTAAGTTTTCGAGCCCATCGGCCCCCTAACCCAACTCTCCCCCTGTAAATTGACCTCTGTGGGTTTGCCTTCACTCTTAGATCCTTCCACCCCCTTCCCCATTCTTCCACTTGCTCGTTTGCTCACTCTATCCACTCTGCACCTTTGCCTCCTCGTCACCTTCCACCTACACGCTCCCCTCCTCTAATCCCATTTTTCATCTGAATTGGCCAACAATTCCCCAAATAAAATTGGTCACTCACCCCACGGTTGTTTGTGTGGTGGGGGGACACTACTGTGTGCAAATTGCTGCAATGTTTGCCTACCAACCACACAGTCACCACACTGTATAGTAAATCCTATGGAAGTGCTTTGAGATGTTCTCCTGCTGGGAAAGGCGCTGTATCAAAGACGAGGATAATAATAATCCTTGCATTTGATACAGCACCTTATCGGGTCTTCAAGTCGTCTCCAAGCGCTTCACAGAATAGATTGTGTGAATTGACTGTATATTTTGTGCGCAAAACGCAGCAGCCAGTTGCGCACAGCAGCGTCCCATGGAGTGAATGAGAATATTATTGTTATTATTATATTGTTGTTAAACCCACCCTTTCCCTCGTTGGGCAGACCAGGAGGTGAACCTGACGTGTCAAGCGTACTTCTATTACATCAGGGGCTCTTCTACCGCGGTGTGGTGGACCATTGATGGCTGGGACGCCAAGGACCTGGCCCCCAGAGTAACAATTCAAGAGAGGTGAGTTTGCTTAAAGTTTGCCAAAGGTTCTCCTTTTGTTTCTGTGGGAATCCTTTTTCCAAATGTCCATTTTGTTTTTCAATGCGTGGGTAATCTGAAACTACAGTAAAACTTTATTATTATTGTATTATGATTGTTTTATATTTTCATATTATTATAATGTAGTCATTATTAAGATTATATTATTATAATGTAACTAATATTATAAGTCATATTGGTCAGGATGAAAATATTTAAAATGACCAAAACAAAGTCCGAGTTGCAGGCAAACTGTATTAAGTCTGATTTAATCAATAAATATTAATCTATGTGGGGAGTTTAATGCAGCCGGTAAGTGCACATGCGGTGACGGGTCAAGAAGACATTTCCCCGTGATTCAAGGCTTAATGACCCGTCTGAGTTTATCAGCAAGCGTTGGAATCGCATTGAATCGCGGGAAATGAAGTCCTTCTGCTCATGCGTCGACGGATCAAGTCTAAGTTTTTCGTGATTCAGCCAGTAAGTGCGGGGGTAATGGAGGGTAGGGGAGCGCTGTTACGAGTTAGGAGGTGATTAATACGAATAGCGCAAATAAATCTAAGTGTTTTTGATAGGAAACTGAAAGGGACTCGGGTGCTTGGGCGACTTAGGTGATTGTACAATTTATGAAGATACAACTTGTGTGAGTTTTACTGGAGCAATTACACACCATCCATTGTATGTTAGAATAGCCCAGCAGTCCACATCGCCAAGCACTGGGCTCTCATTTGGTGGGTTTCTCAATGGGGTCTGTGTGTAGCATCCCCAGGTGAGCAGGAATCCTCTGGGCTGACGGAGGGGTTCTGTGGGTTGTGTTGATTATTCACGGGCTTCGCTTGGTTTCTCTAGTGAAGAGCTATGGCCGCTCAAGAACAAAGTGGTGGAAAGTGTATTGACTATAAACGCGTTGACCCCAAGCGACCTCCAGAAGAACTACACCTGCTTCGCGAGAAACAGTCAAGGCATCAAGAGCCGTCAGGTCATTCTGGCCCGGAAAGGTATCTGACTCCGCCACCTCTTAAACCTCCACTAACCTGTCCGCTCCCTCTGCACGGCTCCACTGTCGGTGGTCAGGCCTTTTGCCCCCGCCTCTGCCCCCCTCCCTCACACCCTCTGGAACTCCATCCAGGAACCCCTCTGTCTTGCTCCCCTACTCCCCCCCGACCTGCTACCTCCTACAACAACAACGACCTGCATTTATAACGTGCTGAGGAGAAACATGACGTGGAGTCCTGAGGATCAATGGTTAGAGCACTCGCCTCACTAGCGAGAGGATCTTGGTTCAATTCCGGCAGGGTGAAATGTTGAGTAAGTTCCCTTACTTCACACGCCTCTGTTTAACTAGCAGTAAGCAGATTGGCGATTAGCGGAACCCTTTTCCAGGGGTAACAATTCCTTCAATTAATAAATAAGAAGAATGTGGTCACTCAATCCAGGACTGTTTGTGGGACGCTGCTGTACACATTATGCCCACAATGTATACAGTCAATTCACTCACAGTATACTCTATGAAGCGCATTGAGATGTCTTGACATGATAAGGCTGATAAAGTATAAAATGTTATTATTGTGAACAAAATGTTTTGTTTATTTCTTCCCAGCTCCCAACTATATGATTGAGCTCGGCTGTGCCTTGGGATTCACTTTGTTGATCGTGGTGACGTCCATCGTAGTCTATCACTGCTGGTGGATTGAGATCATCTTACTGTATCGATTGTACTTTGGGACTGACGAGACTGTCGGAGGTGAGACTTAGGGCAAAAGTGCACGTATGCAGGGGGTGGGGGGCTCTGGGGGTGGGAAGGGCAGGTTTAGGGCAGATGCCAGGGAGTATTGCTTTACACACAGAGAGAGTCGGCAGCTGAATTGCTTACCAGGAAGGGTGGTTGAGGACAGGATGATGGGTCTCGTTCAAGAACTTGCTTGATGGGAGGACGGTTGTACGGATGGATGTTCTGAAAAGATGTGAAATGGGCCGAGGGGGAGATGCGTGAACCGTAACTAAATCATGTGTACAGAGCCACCTTCCCTGCCCCCCACCCACTCCAGTTTGGATTTCCAGCTATGTGAAATTCTTTAGATTTCCTCCCGACAGGAAAGGGGCCATATGAATGTACATTGTTGTACAGAGGGATTAATAATCCTTGCATTTAATACAGCGCCTTATCACTTCTTTGAGACGTCCCGAAGTTCTTCACAGGATACACCGTAAAGTGAATTGACTGTGTATTTTGTGGGTGAAACTTTGTAGTAATGGCTACCTTGAGTGCCTATTTACCAAATTAACTAATGAAAAGGATTCTGATTATTATTTAATAAAGGAAAATTCCCTGGGCAACAACCGATAGGAAACGGTCATTCCCCTCAGGACTGTTTCGCTGCTTGCTGTGCGCAAATTGACCTTTGGCGTTTGCCTACAAAATACAGTCAACGCACTTCACAGACAAAAACCTTAGGCAAGTTTCCTTACTCCACAAGCTTCTGTTTACCCAGCAGTAAGTAGGAACCCAGTTGTTAGTCGATTGGCAGATCCCTTTTCTGGAGGTAAAAAAATAAACAGTCACTCAATCCATGACTGATTGTGGGACACTGCTGTGCGCAATTGGCTGCCGTGTTTCAGCCACAAATTCACAGTAGATCCACTTTACAGTATATTCTGCGAAGCACTTTGAAATGTCTCAGAGACGTGATAAGGCGCTATATCAAATGCAAGGATTAGTATTACTATTGTAACAGTTACTAGTCTTCAATGGAAACCCATTGCATGACGACCGGTTGGCCATTTCAGAGAGGATTATTGTAGGATTGTAAAATCCGCCCAGCACTTTTTGAGACGTTTCAGAGTGATACGGGAGTGCATCGGATGCGAGGGTTGGTGGTGCCAGTGAATGAGCACTGTCGGGCAAGTACCTCTCACCCTCTCCCTGTGATTGACAGATGGGAAGGAGTACGATGTGTACGTGTCCTACGCCAGGAACGCGGAAGAGGAAGAGTTTGTCCTGACCACTCTGCGAACGGTTTTGGAGAACGACTACGGATACAAAGTCTGCGTGTACGACCGGGACAGCTTGCCTGGAGGCAGTGCGTATACCCAGCCCAATCCTCACCCCGTTTCAGTGACCGTTCCTCCTTTCTTGTTCTCGTGGTTAGGTCCTCGCGTTCTACTACCCTTGTGTTCTTGCTCGCTCGCTCACTAGCGCGGTAGCTGGAGGTAGGGAACGCAGCATTGTCAGACAGGAATCTAAAGTTCCTGGCCTTTAGATTGGATGTTAAAACTGTCTGCTTCACGTGGGTTGTTCAACAACCATCTATTGGAAAAGATACTGCGGGAAAGGGAAAAAGTCCTCCCTCCCTTCCTCTCTCCCTGTGTCCTGGCCGACAATTCTCTAGATTTAAAAAAAAGTCAATCATCTCATCCCTGTCTGTGCTGTACATTTGTGCACAAAATGGCTGTATTGTTTCCCTACAAAAGAGTTTCCTTGTTTGTCAGTAATTAGATGTGAAACAGGTTGAATTCATCAATATTAACATTGAATATCTGGTAACTGAGTCCGTGACTTGTCCAGACACCGTACGGGGAATTGTCATAGAGAAGCCAGTTGTCTATTTGTGGGCAATGGCGGCAGCCAACAGTAAGGTCCCACCGACAGCCGCCCCAAAGCATCATGTAGTCGAGATGTTGCTGTGCAACCTCTTCCTCACTAAGGGAATCCTCTAGAGGTTCTGTGGACATAAAAGAATCCTGCATATTATCTTTTCACTGTTTAAACCTTCCTTTTAACTCCGACCAGTGGCAATCCTGAGCTTACACACCCTTCCCCACTCATTTCTCCCCTCTCCCCAAACTCATCCAACCCCCAATAAGTATCCACTATTTATCTTCTCAAAACCTTTCAGAAATTTCTGAAGAGCTCTATCTCAATCCTTTTCGACCTTCTCTGTCCCAGCGTGAGTGTGAACCTTCACTGAACTCTAACAAAATCCTGTTCTGCTCCTTGTCCGTCACTTAGAAGTCCTGATCTTGAGCTATCCGCTGTCCACATCCTATCCCCTCTCCATGGGCCATTCACTATACGTTTGTTCTCCATCTCTCATTCCCCTTCCCTAACAGCTTCACCTTTTATTTTTGTAGTCATCACAGATGAGACATTGGCTTGCATTTGGAAGAGCAGAAGGTTGCTTGTAATTCTTAGCTCCAATTATCTGGTTAACGGGACTCAGTCGCTCCTGGAGTTGAAGGCTGGAATGGAAAACATGATCAATACAGGGCAGATCAAGGTCATCTTGGTAGAGTTTGAGCCGGTGAGGAAGATGGGCCATGTGAAGGAGCTCAAACGCTTGAAAACTGTCAGCACCACCATCAAGTGGAGAGGGGTGAAATCCCAGGACCTGAGCAGCCGGTTTTGGAAGAGACTTCGGGTTGCTCTCCCCGTCAAGAGGAGGGCAGACCCTTCGGACAGCAGTTTGGAAACCAGTATGTGTGATTTCGTATAGTAGAACATAAGCTCACAAACCCTTTTCGGAAGCCAAAATGTGCCTTCATACCCTTCCTGGGTACTTATTATTCCCACACAGTCAACCTGACGCCTCTACCGCTCCTTAGAATCAGTACACGTCATATCTGTGCTGGTGCTCGCTCCCCTACTGGAGCTCTCTACTCTAATCCCATTTCCTGCTCTGTCCCAATTGTGTCTGCTGTTGCTTACTCTCCTACTGGAGCTCTCTACTCTAATACCACTGCCCTACTCTTTCCCAACTGCCATTTAATATTATTCCCTTCAAGTATTTGTGAGGTTTCTGGAATTCTATCCCAGAATCCCTGTGGCTTGCACACTCGCTCCCTCCTCACATCCCAAACTCACCTCTTTCCCCTCTTCAGCACCCCTTTTCCTCTTCTCTCCCCAGCTCAGGTGCCCAGATGCTCCGATGTGAAAGGTGCTCTTTATATAAATGTAAATTGTATCATATTTATCTTGTAAAACCTGGGACTGGAAGCTCAGATTGTTTGTGAATTTTGCTGGGCAATGGGTCTGTCTAAGAGTGACCTTCTAACATATCTGGGTATTGTCCTTATAATGGGTGGGAAGGGTGGGTGGGGGGGTGCAGTGTAAACATCCCCTTTTTATAGAGGGGTGCAAGAAAATGGGAAGTTATAGCCTTGTGCTCCTTGGTCTGTAAAGGGATTTGATCAAGTAGCTACATCAAAACTTTCCTCTGATGGGTGGTGGGGGGGGGGAATCCAGAACAAGGGGGAATCATCTTAAAGTTAGAGCGAGGCCATTCTGGAGTGAAATCAGGAGGCACTTTTTCACACAAAGGCTTCTGGGAATCTGAAACTCTCTCCCAAATGGCTGTGGACTCTGGATCAATTAAAATTTTTGAGACAGAGGTGGAAAGATATTTGTTAGGTCAGGGTATCAAGGGGTATGGAGCAAAGGCGGGTGATTGAGGTACAGATCAGCCATGATTTAATAGAGTGGTGTAACGGTTTCTCAAGTGGCTGAATAGCCTCCTCCTGTTCCTATATTTGAACGGTTTCAGCTTTAGAGGGTCCAACATGCAACCCTTCCCAATGGGATTTTTAAAAAATAAGGAAATAGGACAAATCTGCTCAGATAACCGTCATACTCTAATCCCTCAGGGTTTCTGATTGAGAGCTTTAACTCTGATTTCCTCACAACTGAATTTCCCGGTGGAAAAGCAATTACTTTTTAGCTCCGGGTCGATCTCCGTGGAGGACGGAGTCTTTGGGAAGCGGAAACATCAAACCGCTCCGAGATTCCATGTAACTTGTATTTTTTACACACACTTCACTCGTTCACTCAAAATGGAATAAAAATGAATAATCTGCAGAAATGTTTCATTTCAGTGATGTGGGGGTGGGGGGGGGTGGTCAGCAATGTGAGTAGCTTTGCCTGGACACTAGGAGGAGCTCAGTGATAATTTGAGGAGCCATTGATTCCAGTGGTCAATGTGGTTAGCGCATTATTTCTCTAACTGCTAGTAGGGGGCAGTGCTTCAGACAGGGGTGAGTCTCTGAGCTCCAATGACCTGACTGCCCCTTAATGTCTCTGGAATGTCCACGTGTAGGTCGGATGCATGAAATTCTCAGCTTGGTTTGGAGAATTCTTAAGCACGGTGATGGGTTTCCGCACGTGTCCAACAATCGGCTGACCCCCAAAAAGCAACTGTGTACAACATCCGTCCAGCTGGGACCAACTGACCAGTTAGGCTTGAGAACACGTCCACAGCTCCTAGGTCTCCATTTGCGAAGCAGATAAATTGGTCAACGGTCAACTGTGCCTTGGATTACTGCAGCCCCTCCACCCTGTTCTGTTTTTTTTTTAAATCGTAGAGCCTGTGCTCATTAATGTGGGACATGGAGGGTGGGGGGGGGGGGGGGGGAGAGAAAGCAGAAGCCTGAGTTATTCTCTTTTTCTCCCCCCACTCTCTCTCTCTGAGATTGGACCTTAAAACCTTCTGGTCACAAGATTGGCTGAGCTGCCTGTGTAGCCAATGTGGAGGTGTCAGAGCCAAGCACCCTAGTGAAGGCAATGTATGAGAGAGAGAGAATGAGCGACCAGCAACAACAGGTTCCATTTGTATTGCACCTTTCATGTTGGGAGATCATCCCGAAGTACTGAGATGCGGAGCTTGAAATCCCTACCTTGTGGTGATCAGCGAAGATGCACATTGTACAGAACATGGCGCGGCTCTTGGCTTCTCCTTGCTGAGCGACTTGAAGTACAGTAACGGGCCTCAGTCAGACGCCTTGCACAATCCTGCTGTTGGGTGCTGTTGGCGTTGCTCTGCCTGCGGTGAACAGACCCGAACGGCAGCCCTTTGCCTCTGAACACGGGACGGAAAGGAAAGGATGGTCCTCGGAAGTTTCCTTTACCTGAGTTTGCGTTTGTTTTTTCTTTCATCATCTTCAAAGCCATCCTCCTCTCCTAACGTTACCGATTCATGGTGGAGGGGAAGGGGTGTGGGAGGGTCCACTTGTTTGGTGCCATTTAATATGCCGTTAAAGCAACTGGCTTCACCACACCTCACCACCCCCACCCACCCATAGTGTAAAGCAAGACCTGAGAGCCCATGATCAGCCAAGGATAACTGATGGGATATTGAGAGTGAGCTTTCTGCCTCTCTATCCTGATTACTTGTGCCCAGAAGTGTCCCACTAACTAAGCCATGTTGTGAATGGCCACTTCATCTGGCAGGCTGTTGGCCAGGACACCGGGAGGAACTCCCTTCTCTTTCATGGTGGTCTCATGGGAACTTTTAAATTCCAACTGAATGGATGGATGGCAACTGAACGCTAGATACATCCCATTTCTACAGTCAGCGCCTTACCCCGGAAAGTGATCCACCAATCAACTAACCAGGTTCCTGCCTACTGGGTAAACAGAGGCGTGTGAAGTAAGGCAACTTGCCTAAGGTTTCACCTTGCCCGGTAATCGATCCCAGGGCCCTCTCGCTTGCGAGGCGAGTGCTCTTACCGCTACCCTATGGGATTACTGGACAATGCAGTGTTGTCCCCACTCCTTTCCCTCTCCTCCCCAATAAATCAGTGTGGCCTGTGAGCTCGAAAACAAGGGCGTACAGTGAATGAAAGCAATATAACTGGTGTTTCCAAGTTCTTGACACTTTTTTTCCCTCCCTTTTCCTCTTTACCTCCCCCCGCCCCCTTCCTCCTCCCACTCTCTCTCTCTCTCTCCCCCCAGATCTCACGGAGTCGGTGCTGGGGTTTGTCCAGCGGAGCCGGTGTATGATCATTGTCCTGAGCCCTGATTACCTGACAGAGAAGAGTATCAGCCTTCTGGAGCTCAAGCTGGGGTCTGCCTGTCAACAGGACGTGCACACCAGGCTGGTGGTGCTCGAGTACCTACCGGCCGAGCCCCTCCCTCGGGAGCTCCTCCAGCTACGCCAGGCTGCCCCCTTCCTCAAATGGCAAGGCCCCGGCTCTGGACGCTCCCAGGCCAGATTTTGGAAGCTGCTCCGCTTGGCTTTGCCGACCAGGACCCTGCTGGCGCGCTCGGGCCGGGGGGCCGACAGCTGCTCTACACTGTCCGAGGCCGGAGATGGTGGACCATTGCCCGCCAACACCATCACCAAGCCCGAGCGAGGACCTCTCCCGGACCCTCCCGAGTGCCTCAGCCCCTCGGCTCACTGCCAGCTGTGCGTCCGGTACTGTAACGATGGTAAGGTGGCCCGATGTTTCCGCCAAGGCAGCCAGCAGCCAGCCTGGCAAAGCCACGCCTGCAAGCCCACTGCCCTCAAAGCCAACGGTACCGACAGGACTACAGTGCCGGCCCGGCCTCGCCTGGCTCCCCCTCACAGCCTGGCGCTCAGTTACAGATACTACACCGACATGTCCAACAACAACGACTTCTACGTCCTTTAAAGCCAGCTGAGTGACTCCTCCTTCCCCACCTTTCTTCTCGGCCGTCCTTTCTTGGTTCGATGGTCCGTGTAGACAGATGCATGCTCCTTACACCCTTAGCCCAAAGGCTGGTTTCCTGTAGCTCAGCGGCCCCTCGTGGCAGACACCAATCTCAAGTTATCTCCAACTTCACCAAAGACGCAAAGTCATTGTTTTGTGTTAAAATCCCTCTCCCACCCCAACAAACAAAGCGAGGATCAAGCTGGTTGGACACATCTCCTTGTCACACCCACATGAGGAATCCAGTGATGGGAGGATGGACACAGGGGAGGCCGTGATGATGTGTGCCTTTGCTCAGCGAGGGATGTCTTTATAATAATATAATAATCCTTGCATTTGATATAGCGCCTTATCACATTGTTAGAACGTCTCAAGGCACTTCACAGAACATACTGTAAAGTGAATTGACTATATTTTGTGGGTGACGTGGACCAGCTAATTGTACACAGCAGTGTTCCACAAACAGTCGTGGATTGAGTGACCACATTATTATTGGAGGGATTATTACCCCCCCCCGAAAGCGATCCGCCAATCGACTAACAACCGGGTTCCTACTTACTGCTGGTAAACAGAGATATGTGGAGTAAGGAAACTTGTCTAAGGTTCGCCACCACCCAGGAATCGAACCCAGGTCCTCTCGCTTGTGAGGCGAGCTTGCTAAACAGTAAACCACGCTACAAGATTGTTTTACTGGTGTTGGATGGTGAGCGTGCTGCAAACTGAGCGTGTGTGCTACTGTGGGGGTTGGGGACAGCTCCAGAACACCGCTCTTTGTTTCTGTCTCAGAATAGGCCCTCTGTGTCTGTGTCTGCCCCGGCCGCCCTCCCCACCTCCGTTTAAATGTTCTTGACTGTTTCATGTCGGTGTCTCTCCCCTGCCTGCTCTCCCCGTGCCACGTGCCTTGTGCTGGTGAGTCAGCAAGTGGCTGAGGGGAGCAAAAGACTGTCCGATGAAGTCCCAGAAACCCACCACCACCACAACACAGTGTGTCCTTCCCCCACCCCACACTTTGTGCGCTCTTCCCACTCTCCGTATCCCCACGTGTGCACATGCACACGCAATGTACACTCATGCGCACACATAAACGCACATGTACACACAAACACACATATTGTGCCATTAACCTCAGCTTGCCTTTTCCTAGTGGATCACACATCATGTCCCATCTCTGTCAGTCCCATCTCTCGCTCCTTCTTCTCTCAACCCCGTTTGTATGAATGAATTCTGAAGTTCTGGTTGTGCCTTCAGGATAAACACCTTGTGATCAGAGCTCTCTCACAGTCCACGCTGGCCGAGCTGAGTGCAGCAAACACACCGAATTTGGTCGCTGTAAGGTACTTTATCCAGGTTCATCTGTGAATAAATTGCAAATTAAGGAGAGTTGGGTCTTGAGTCACCTCTGTGACTTGAACAAAAGCCAGGAATGGGGATGGGAGGGGGGGCATGTGACCGGGGGTAGGTGGGGGCTGAAACCTGTTAAGGCAGAGAGAGAGACCCGGGAGTGATAGTTGACTCATGGATCACTATTTCAAAACAGGAGGAGGCAGATAAAACGAGGCAAACGAGTGGCTGGGTTTACATCACCCAAATCAGGTTAGATTCCCAGAAATCAGTCCTGAGCAGTAACAACAATAACAACTTGTATTTATATAGTGCCCCTCATGCAGAGTAGTGTCCCAGAGCACTGCAGAGGCTTCTGGTTGTGGTGACACAAGAGGACAGGGCAGAGGACAGTGATGGGTGTGATTACCCCCGGTGTTAGAGCTACGAGCAACTATCAGACAGGCTGAGGCTCTTCAGCCTTGAAAAAAGATGGCACCAATTGAAGGAGGTGATCAATGAACCTGATCAAACTAAACCCAGAGCAATACTTTCAACACTAAGGCAGCAGAACAGGATAGCGTAGGGTCAGGGGTGTGAGGAGCAATTTTGATCGGATGGGAAGAAGATGGGGATTCTGGAAGGATGAGATCAAACAGGAAAAAGCTTTCTTTATCTGGTCCTCTCTCCCATGTAAAAGATTGTCTGATTTCCCCACCACCACCCTACTAACCCAAACCCAGGAGTCCTGATCTCTATCCCTGCTGAGAAAGGAACAAGTGAGGATGTGAGATGAGAATGGGATGGGGATCATCTATGAAACATCTGGAACTGAAGAGTCTCTCAATATCTCTTCCCCCCCACCCCTGCCCCCCACCCTGGTGTCTGTTTGACGGAGGACAAATGGGCACTTTGATGAGATACAGTAACCAGGGTAGCTCAGGACCTGTGGAACATCAACCAACTGACTAACCGATCAACAATCCAACCAACTAACCAGAACATCAATTTCAGGAGAGGAGAACGGGGTTGGATGGTGGGGGGGGCGGAGCGGAAGCCTCCACTTGAAAGAACGTTGGTAATTTTTACCCCAATCAATGGGACATTATCGGAGTCATTTCTTCATGTTTCTCTCCTCATTTAGCACAGCAATGGTTAAGGCACATCGCAAATGTTAATACAATACAAAATTACATTTGTATAGCGCCTTTCACCACAGGAGGACGTCCCAAGGCGCTGGACAGTTAGAGATTTGGACCCGAGCTGGAGATTTGGGGAACGGAGGGTGGCCAAAGGTTCGGTTGATGAGGAGGGTCTTGAGATGTGCCTTAAAGGAGGCAAGGGAGGGAGTGAGGGAAAGGGAATGTGGGATGGAGTTCCAAAGAGTGGGGGTAGAGAGGGAGCGGAGGGGGCGGACTGGTTGATATGGAGTCAGCAAGTCACAGAAGTAGGAGGGGGCAAGGCCATGAAGGGCCTTTAAAGTGAGGACAAAGATTTTGAACTCTATCCTCTGAGGGATGGGGAGCCAGTGGAACCGGGCGAGGGTGAGGGTGATGGGGTCATGGAACCTGGTGCGGAAGAGGACATGAGCTGCAGAGTTCTGGATGATCTGCAGCTTGTGGAGGGAAGAGTTGGGAAGGGTGACAAGGTGGGAGTCGGTGTAGTCGAGCCTAGCTGTGATGAATGCATGAATGAGGGTTTTGGTAGACTGAGGAGTGAGACAGTGGCGGAGCCGGGCAATGTTGTGGAGGTGGGGGAAGGCAGAGAGGGTCATGGCACGGATGTAGGGTAGAAAGTATAGTTGAGGGTCAAACAAGACACCAAGGTTACGGACTGGCTAAAAGAGGCAGTGTGCAAAATACTTCAAATTTAAGAAACCTCTTAAGAAAATATTTTGGGATATTTGATAATTGTCCATTACTTACTGAGAAACATCACAGGTTGGAGCCCAATGTTCCTCCTCAATAATGTCAGAAACTTGAGTCTGCGCTGGACATGACCCAGTGATGGGGTAATAATAATAATAATCCTTGCATTTGATATAGCGCTTATCATGTCTTTGAGATGTCTCAAAGCGCTTCACAGGATACACTGTAAAGCGCACAGCATTGTCCCACAAACAGTCGTGAATTGAGGGGACACATTTTTTTAAGGGATTATTACCACTTGAAAAGCTGCCAATTGACTAACAAAATTCGCCGAACGACTAACAATTGGGTTCTTACTTACTGCTACGTAAATAGAGTCATATGGAGTAAGGAAACTTGCCCAATGTTTCGCCCTGCCGGGAATCGAACCCAGGCCCTCTCGCTTATGAGGCAAGTGCTCTAACCACTGAGCTGCAGGATCATTAAGTGCTCATTAACAGATTTACATTAATTGCTGTTAACGCCAGAGAAGCAATTCTAATGTTACAATGATATATGATTCCCTCAACATGATGCACATTGGTAATAACTCATTAGATATGGAAATTCTCTGCACACTCGTCCCTACCACATGTGTGGCATATTCTGGTCTATATCACATTGATGGCCTCTGGGTTCAAGCCCCACGTTGGAGCCCTTTACCTCAGTCTAGGCTGATACTCCAGTGAAGTGCTGGGGGGGTGGGGGCAGCCCTATATTGTTGCAATATTGTTATATTATCAAAGTGAGGTCCTTCAGGTGAGATACTTATTAAACTGAGCTCCCGTCTGTGTCTGTTCAGGTGAATGTCAAAGATCTCACCAAACTGTTGCTGACAATAATTTGCATGTTGACAAAAGGGATTCTCTATCCTGGTTAACAATCCTCCAAGTAAATTTGTCATTCACTTCATGGCTCTTTGTGGCACACAGCCATGATGGGGAGAGAGCAGGGAATGGGATTAGAGCAGAGAGCTCCTGTGGGGGAGCGAGCACCAGCACAGACACCATGGGCTGAATGGCCTCCTTCTGTGCTATAAACACTGTGGTTCCCCATGTCACAGAGAACTCTCATTCTGTGGCCTTCAAGTCATGGAATGATTGACTGAAACTCCTTACTAACACACACAATCCTTTTGTTCTGAGTAATATTCCCAGTGTGCCTGTAACAAATATTCCTATAACATGGAAGTAAGTGTCCTGAGCAAAAGCTGACACTACCTGTATCTGTAGGATTTGGAGCAGGCGCACACGGCACCTAGTGGGCACCATTATAATTACAGCCACGTTCCCTTAAGTTTTATTCCCATCTCTTGGAATAGCTGCAGTAAATGTTTTCCCTTGCCTTCTGCAACTTAGGAACAGGAGGAGGCCATTCAGTGCCTGGAGCCTGTTCCGCCATTCTATAAGATCATGGCTGATCTGTACCTCAACTCTAATTCCTCGCCTTTGCCACATATCCCTTGATACCCTGACCGAACAAACTTCTATCCACCTTGAAAATGTGAATGGATCCAGCCATAATCCACAGCCTTTCGGGGGAAGAGAGTTCCAGATTTCCACTTCCCTTTATGTGCGCAAATTGGCTACCGCGTTCATTTAAATGCAACTACCCTTGATGATAAATCCTGTGGAGCTCTTTGAGATGACTCCCTGACCATGAAAGGTGCAATATTAAATGCAAAAATTATTATTAATTATCTCAGGTGATCAGTTATTACATAGTTATTACAGATGCAATTTCACCCTGTTCGAAGAGACTGATTCACAGATCTTACGTTTTATAATCCTATTATAACCCATCACCAGATTGTTGGAATGGAATGCGCTCTCTCTCCCTGGAGAGACCCATCCTGTTTACATACTTCCAGAAAGTTTTAGGCACAGGTTGGCAAAAGACAAGGCCTGGGGACCCCAGAGTGTGTGTTGGAGTAATTGTTGGAGTCTAACCCACTAAACACTAAAACCGCATAGCTTGCCATTGATATCGCTGTCTGACAAGCTTTCCCGCTGCTTGTCCAGCTCGGACCACCCTACCCATGAGGGCTTTTGGCTTGCAGGTTAACAGGAGCTGAGTGGAAGGATTCCCTGCTCCCAGTGACTGGTCAATTGGACAGTAAATTGGAGGATATAAGGTTGCATTCAATCTGAACAACCTCCTGAATGGATTTCTTCCCGGACTTTGACCCTTTTGGTGGAACATTTTGTAAGAATAATCATTTGATTCTAAAAATTCCTCATAAAACAAAGAATTTAGCTGTGACGTTTTATAGATACGAGTGAATAGATTCATGCATTAATTGTAAGGCAATAAAACATTTGACATTTGAAAGTTTTTGAAGAAGGATTGGCTATAAAAGTAAAGTGAGATTGCGATCGTTCAAACTTTCTCAAACACATCGGGCAGGTAAAGGATTTTAATTTTAATTTTCTTCAACCTCAAAGAGCGCAGGCTCATAAGAAGACATCCGAAGAGAATTGGGAGTGAGCACCAGCAGACATGATGGGGAGAGAGCAGGGGAATAGGATTATAATAACAATAATCCTTGCATTTGATATAGCGCCTTATCATGTCTTCGAGACATCTGAAAGCGCTTCACAGAAGTGTATATTGTACATAGTGTATATATTGTAGACTGTATATTTTTTGGGTGAAACGGCCAATTGCTCAAAGCTGTCTCCCACAAACAGTCGTGGATTGAAGTGATCAGTTATTATTCTTATTATTTTAAGGAATTATTATTCCCGGAAAAGTGATCCACCGAACGACTGACAACCGGGTTCCAATTTACTGCTATATAAACAGAAGTGTGTGGAGTAAGGAAACTTGCCCAACATTTTGCTCTGCCGGGAATCAAACCCAGTTCTCTCGCTTGCAAGGCAAGTGCTCTATTAGAGTAGAGAGCTCCAGTGGGCGAGTGGGCACACTCATCACCCCTGCTCTCTCTCTCCCCATCGTGTCTATGCTGGGGCTCGCTCAATACCTTCTGGTGATGCTTCCTCAAAGCTTTGATCTCTTCTTCGGTGGGTGTTGGTGGGGGGAGGTGCAGTATTGTGAAAAGGCTTTCCATTGTGTGATGTCGCCTGTGGTTTCAATTCCGACTGACTGAGTGGATCACCAGAGGTTCAACAACAACACCAACAGCGCCTTTCGTGTTGGGAGAATGTCCCAAGGCGCTGGACAATCAAGTGGGGGGAGGGCTGGGAGGGGAGTTGACAGGAGTGTGGGAGTGAATGGAGCGTTCTTACAGAGAGCATTCAAGTATAATGGGCCAAATGGCCTCCTTCTGTCCTATAAAGCTCTGTGATTGCGATTGTAAGCTTCGACGGTTGAAATTGCATGGATGGTGCCTGGCTCTGTCCAGCCCTGCGTGTTATTTTGGTGATTAGATGTTGGCTTGTGCAAGGAGCTGCGCCCAGTACAAAATGAAGGGAGCTGGTGAGTGTGGCTGGGTGCGTGTGGGTGTACATTGATGTGGGTGCAGCATCGATGGTGGGTTATATTTCGTTACCAGGTCAAGCCATTTCTGAATAGTCATATTAATATTCCCAGTTGCACCGATGAGGATAGGAACTATATTCGCAAGGATTGTTACATATTTGTTTTACATTGATACATCCACATTCAATTTGTAGATCAATATATTTCTTGATCTTCTCTAGTTCCTTATTACCTACGTTGTAATCACTTGGAATTGACACGTTAACAATACATTATTATATTATTATACAGCATTAATATAAAATTGGCTGCTGCGCTTCGCCCACGAAAAACACAAATTACAGTGTATCCTGTGAAGCGCTTTGAGATGGCTCAACAACATGATAATGCGCTCTATCAAATGCAAGGATTATTATTATTACATGTACAATCTATTTGGTTCTTTATGATATATTATTATCATTATTCATTATAATAATCTGGGTGAAAATGGAAGCACTGTCCCTGTTCCTGTGCTCGATCGCTAGTTATTACCAATGATTGTTTTGCTGTTTGATTTGTCAGCTGGACTAGTTCCTCAGCAGTTTGTCCCCCATATTTATGGATGTATGTGTGTGTGGGGGGGGGGGGGTGGGGAGGGTGGGAGGTGGAGGGGTCCGAGGGGGGGAATGTTTAAGGACCACTGTGCTCCAATGTATGTTAGTCAATTGTGCTCAATACCGTTTGGACGGACGACACAGGCTCAGGCGGCAGACAATCATTGACCAAGTGTTCTGCTCTTGTGGACGCCAGACAAAGGGATCCTTTGTCCTGAGGGAGGATTAAGCAACAGGTGATGATCAGACCCCTCATCGACACTCTTCCTTCATTCTCCCAGTTGATTAATTGGTACAGAGGATGGTACTCTACAACAGGAGCTAATTGACAAGCCTCGTTAAGTGGATATGGTATTTTGCATGAACTAGGAAATGCAAGTTGTTGTTCATTCATCAACACTTCATCACAGGAGGAGAGGCCATTCAGCCCATCAGTCCCACATGGCAGCTCACTCCCCTCACTGGAGCTCTTGACTCTAATCCCGTTCCCTGCTCTCTCTCTCTCTCCCCATGGTGTCTGTGCTGGTGCTCGCTCCCCCACCGGAGCTCTCTACTCTAACCCCATTCCCTGCTCTGTGCTCTGTAAGGATCATTATGACAAACTGCTGTACAAACCAACGGTCTATGGCAGAGCTGGGCAGCGCAGGGGTGCTTAGAGTTCCCCACCCCCGGCCTAAAATTAAACTACACAAGTTCACTGAAAGAGAAGACGACCAAAGTAAGGAATGTATTTATGATTTGAGTCACTGGTTCAGCAGGTAAAGTAAGTTAAAATCTATTCTTAAGATTAACTGGTTCTGTGTTCCAGACTGATGTAAGATTGTTTAGCTCTGCTTGTTGTATTGTTCTGTTTGGCTAAGTCCCAGCTGTTTGCGAGGTACCTGGGTTATGTTATTTCACAAGGTGTTGTCACCTGCACAGGTGTGCAGGTCAGACAGGGCTGACATCTTGGCTCAGTCCAGCCCATATCACTGCCAATCAAGGTTAGGGCAGGGACTCTCAAAGCTAACAGAGGAATATTTTGCTCACAGTGGAATTAGGGTTACAAGGGCTGTTCCCTCTGTACTGTCAGAGGATTTAACCTGCTGATAAATCAGGTCCCCCCCACCCCCTTGCATTAAAATCAGGAATGGTGCTGACTCCACTACATTCCTGGAGGATTAATGAGATTGTTATAGATATGAATCAGCCAAAGACATGTTGTTTTGCCCAGGAAGTAAATGTCTCTGGTCGCTACATCCAAATAAAATTCCCCTCCTTGATTTATGGAAATGTGTCTGTGTAAATCACACTGTTATGCTAATAGCACTTATACAATTAACCGTTTCCCCATCAATTTCCCGTTTCCATATGTCTTTTACTGTTAACTCCCTTTTTTGCTGTGATTCCCATCAATTTGTATCAG